AACAGGGGTCGCCAACCTTTTGGACCTCAGGGAACACCAAACTCATAATTTTAAATCCCGCGGACCAGAGACCCTGGAAAAATCCCCAAAAAAGTCTGCAGAAAAATTCCCCACCCTGTTTTTCTAGATTGATCATTCTTTATTTGGGAACGCAGGGTACTGTCTCCAGCTCCTTTCTCGGGGCGAGAGAAAGAGAGACTTTTGGCTTCATGGAAGGAAAGCAGCAGAAGCAGAAGTTTTTCTTTCTCTCCCCCAAACTCCACCAGAAATGAGTCATTGTGAGACTTGTCATGCCAGCGCAGCCTCTTTGAGCAGGATGCTATGCAGGGTCCCAAAGACTCATTTCTGGTGGAGTTTGAGGGAGAGAAAGAAAGACTTTTGCTGCTTTCCTTGTGTGCAGCCAAAAGCAGAAGCGGAAGCAGCCTGGTGGCCAGGCGAGGCATGTGAGGTGAGTGGGGCAAGTTCCCCCCCCCATTGTCCTTTCCTCCCTCCCCTCACTACCTCATGTTGTTCGCAATGCAAGAGACGTAAGCCTTGTGTTCCTGCGGGCCATGTGGGCAGCGCATCCTTGTGTACCCGTGCAGCCTGGATTAATTGCTTTGGGGGGATGCTTTAGGGGTGACATTTCTCTGTGGACCACAAAATTTTTCTAATGGACCACCAGTGGTCCCCGGCCCACTGGTTGGCGACCACTGCTTTAGAACAAAGCTGTTCCACTAAAATCTTTTCAGGGAAAATTGTTGTTTTTATCTTTTCTGCTCAAGGAGGGAAGCCAAAGAAAGGATAGATATAGATGTTGATACACATATTGCTCATAAACAAGTTTTTTGTTATTCTGCTTAGAATTAAGGAGTTGTCCATAATATTTGAAGGTCCAAAGCCTCCTCTAGTGAATGAAAAGGCAAATAGAAATAGGACTATAGGGCTCCAGTGGGATTGAAATTTGGCAAAGCTGCGCCTGTTTCAATGCTGCCACATTTTCCCAGTCAGCCAGTGATCATCATTTCCAACTGACTTTCCTTCCCCATCAGATTCCTACAACAAAAATCTATGGGGAAGCCAGCAGGAAATTGGAAGTTGTTCCTGCTGCTGGTGCTTCTTTGTTTACCCATGGTCATTCTGTTTCCCTATTTAGATATGAAAGTATCTTTGGAATGATGACCTATGATCACAGATTGTCTAGTTAGCTAGTCAGTTCGGAGTTCCTAAAATGTTATTTTATCACTATTCTGAACAAACACTTGATTATTCAAATCCCATACTAAGCATAATATGTGGTTTGTTTGACTTTGACTTTGATTTGTGAACTAAGATTTATTTTCTCCTTCTCTTGCCTGAAACCGACTTTCCTAATGTAGATTCAATAGTGGCAAGTAAAGAGAGGAAACTGCATAGTCTGCGACAAGCAAATTACAAAAGGAAAGATTTGTAGAAAGGGGAGATCACAGGATTTGAAATTTGCCAGCTGCCAAATGTAAAATAATTGCTGGAGCAGTGTGAGGTATTTCAACATGTTTCCAGACATTCTTGGGTATTGATTTTTCTTTTAAACCACTGATGCATCCAAGTTACAATTAAACAGTCCACTTGGCATCTAGAGCAGTGGTTGCCAACTGGTGGACCAGAGACCACTGGTGGTCTGTGAGAAAATTTTGGTGGTCCGCAGAGAAATGTCCCCCCCCCAAAGCACTCCCCCCAAAGCAATTAATCCAGGCTGCGTGGGAACACAAGGCTGCGCCTGCCCACCTGCTGGCCCCCACCCTTCGGCCGAGCGCAAATCTTACCTTGAGTAGAACCACGCAAGTTGGAACTGGAAGGTAAGACCAAATGGCGGGGGAGGGAAAACTACCCCAGGATGGCTTGCTGATGTTAGTGGGAAAGTTGGTCCCATATTCCAGAGCTGCAGTAGTCACAAGACTGGTCTTTTTTTAATCCCGGAGCAGCTCCTCCAATCCATGGCAGGCCAGTGCACCCGAGTGGAGGAGCAACTGCGCCAGTCCTATGACTACTGCAGCTCTGGAATATGGGACCAACTTTCCCAATGTCAGCAAGCTACCGTCAAGTCAAAATTCATATTAGTGGTCCGCGGGATTTATGAGTTTGTTGGTCCCTGAGGTCCAAAAGGTTGGCAATCCCTGACCTGGAGTATATCGCAGAACTTCATTCATATATTGTATTAAGCAATAATGTGACTTATTTGGTTTGACTTTTGTATAATTTTTGAAGCCAGCTTATAATTAATCAAAGTCTGAGATTCAATAAAGTAGAAATCACATTGGAAAACCAATGCTTTGCCTTTAATTATAAGAAGAGAAGTTGTAACCCAGACACAAACCATTTTTCAGGATGGGTGGACAATTGTGGAAAATTGAGAATATCAGCTGCCAAGGTGGACATAGCGACTCATACTTCTGAAATGTGACACGATGAGGCTTCTTTCTCCTGTATTTCTTCTGGTTCCCCAGGAAGTTTCCCCACCTTTCCCATGTTTTTTTCCCAAATGGATGGTATACTTGTAAACAAAGCTACAACTACTCACCTTTATTATTTAAAAAAAAAAGCTATGGAACTTATGGGGGGTTCAGAAGAATGGTGTAAAAATAGAAGTGATGATCTAAGCCATTTTTTTCTTGCAGTATGCTAACTTGCCAGCTCTTATTTTTTACTAAAAGAATAAATTAATAACTTAGGTCGAACAGGATACTTCGGAAGTACCAACTTATATAAGAGGTCATTGATAAAGGTACTACGTTACCTAACCATATGCCAGTCTTTTCGTATGGTCTCACTTTCATCGCTTTCTTTTAACTTCTTCTGAAGAAGTTGCACTATTAGGCAGAGATGTGAAAACACACAAATATTCAATACCAAATACCTCTGGTAATTTGCAGAGTACTTTAACTTATGAGAAGGGATAAAAAGCTGATATGCTTCACTCCTGTTTAGCTTTTATTTTTCCCCCCCTACATGCCTAAGGTTCTTCTTTGCAGAGGAAGATTAATTAATAAATTAAGGAATGAACCAAAAGAAAGACCCCTAGCAATAAAACTGTGGAGAAAAACATGAGGATTAGTTTTAGTTGTTCTTTACATGATTTTATAAATGACTGTCTTACGAAGTTTACCAGACTTGAAACCTCCTTTTTTTGAGAACTCAATAATATTATCTTCCCCTCTTTTACTAGCATTAAATTATATAACAAGCTTTTAAATATTTCCATTACAAAAGGACCTCTGTGAAACAAAACTTTATTCAATTGGTATAATTTCTATTGACAAAATAGTTTAAAATATATCCCACATAGGATTGCCATTTTTGATGTAAAATATCATAAATGATAGTTATATAAAATCACAAATTAAAATATCTTTTGGGTTGTAGATTGCATTCAAAAGGAATCTATGCATGTTCATGCTCTGACAAGTGGTTTTTTGCACATGCTGTTTTAAAGAGCAGCTTAATGTTATTGCATCAGTGATAAAAGCATAATCAAGAAAATACATGAAGCTTAACCCCCCCCCCAAGTTTCTTCTTAGTAAATTCACTGCAAAAAAATCCGTTATACAGAAACAGTCAAATGCCATCTTGAGCATTTATAAAATGCAGCAATTCCATAAGACTGCAAAGTGGGAGAAGATCCAGATTCTAATTTCCCCAACACATACAATTAGTAAATAATGTTTAAGAGATATAATCGGGTGGGATTCTACCAGTTTGCACTTATTTGCTAGAACCGGTTGTTAACATTCTAAGCAGTTCGGAGAACTAGTTGTTAGAAGAAATTACTGGTCTAATCCTGTAAGGAAGGCAGGAAGGAAACATTCTGGTGTTGCTTACAGAAACTGCCTCTCCGTTAACCCTTATTACATTCTTGGCAGGACTAGACTTCCTGTCTCTGGAACTTCTCTGGAGGTTTCTTTTCCCCCTTTGCTGGTACTTTGCTTGTGTGGAGTAACCATTCAAAGTTACAATGGCACTGAAAAAAGTGACTTATGACCATTTTTCACACTTACGACTGTTGCAGCATCCCCACAGTCATGAGAGGCCAGGCGAGGAGATGCGTGCCTCAATGTGAGTGATGTTGAGTTGGCCACGCCCAGCCAGTCACATGACCACCAAGCCACGCCCACCAACTAAGCCACGCCCACAGAACCAGTTGTTAAAATAATTGAATCCCACCACTGGATATAATCCTCTAAGAGGCTTCTACCTGGAAGCAGGGGGAAGTGAATTAATTGCACAGTTATTTAGACCCTGGTTCCTTGTCAACTTTACGTAGTTAACAGCTACAGAGACACAGAGAAATGCTGGAGGAATATGATATAGTTAGAAAAGTACATTAAAATATAAAGAAAGCTGCTAAAACATCTAGGCATCTATCTAAAAAGAGAGAGAAAATGTAATACATACACCCTGTTTCAAATCAGTAAGCATGATTTATATGCAGAAATAGAAAATACAACAAACCTATTAGAAAAAATGAATCCAAAGAAGTCAGCTATGTGGAAGATAATGATTTTCAGCAACTAGGTAATGTATGAGGAATCATGTGACTGATCCCACAAAGATCTTCATTTGCCATGCAGGTATTTGCAGAAAGACACACCGGTGTATCCCAAATTCTGTGTCAGGCCAACTTAATAGGTAGCATTTACATTGTTTTAAATTAATTATATTATTAATAATAATCAACTCTAAGGCAAATACACGCCATTCCCCAGTTGCTCACACATTGACAGCAGATATAAAAGAGATGCTTATCTGCATACACATTTACCACTGAAATTACTATCTTGTAGATTTATTTTTGCTTATCTCAAACACATATTCAGCAGTTTTTCTAGAATTCTCAGCATAATAGTATGCAAAACTGTAATACTGGTTTAGCACTTTACCATTACAAAGAAGCATGAGACTCACATATATTTTATGTGTAGTTATTAGATGTCAATAGTGCTAGATGCACCAACTATGAAAGAACCATTTTTTTTCTTAATATGAAGTATTGGTTATTAGTTTTTCCCTCTATTTTGCCCATTTTTCTAAATATAATCAAAGTGCGTATGCATTGTTGGTACATTCCAAGAATTTGTGTGTGTGTGTCTGTGTATGCATACATTTGTGTGTGATTAGTACGTGCATACATTTTGTGTGTGTGTGTGTGTGTGTGTGTATGTGTGTTGGAATGTGTACACACATACACATACACCATGCATCTAATCAAAGCATCTGAAAGAATGTTGCAAATTTCTAGAACCCCATCCAAAGAAAGTAGGGTGAAAAATCTAACAATATGGAAGACAATTGTAAACTACTCTCTATATACACATCTGCATGTTATATAAAATCAAAATGGGCTGCACCATTAAAACATTTGTTATCAGCAGTCCTAGTCATTAAAGAAAATTGAACTAGGTTCAGAATTGCAATCCAAATGTGGATTAAAATACATTTATTTTATTGGTAACTAAGTATAATTTTGCTGTTTGGGGGGGGTGTCATTGGTTGAAGCAATTCAGTACATAAACACATTTTTAAACGTTGTGTTCAAACTGTTACCAATGGATTTAAGAACAACTGCACTCAATATACATGGAGGGAAAAAACTTTCATTCATAATCCCATGAGTGACAAGAGTTATCATCAAAAGTGGTTCTTAAGTGGCCAATGATTAAGGTCAGGAATATAATCAGCTCATTGTAGGCAGCAAATTGCAATTCTATGGTTGGCACCAAAAAGATATTTCTTCCTAATAAGTTTTTCACATAGCTTTCACCTTGATCTGTTTCATTTTCATTTGCTTCTTTTCAAGTTTTTTCTGTTCACGGCGCAAGGCAGCCTCCTGTAGGAAATAAATTATTGGTTTTGTATGACTATTGGATTCTGTGTTTGATTGCAGAGCAAAGTCAAAGACACCAAGGAAATGTAGCAGATTGTTTACTGTTATGAGATAAATACTAATTACTCTTCCACACAAAAATCTGCCGCTACTACTTTGGAACTATGTGGGTGATCAAATGCTTTCAATGCAATAAAAAATGGATCTGCTTCCAAATGGATCTCTTTTTATAAATACAGAAGTATTCAAGCACTGAATTAGATACCATTTCCCCAGCCTTGGCAAGATTAATTTATAACTTCCTAAGGAACCGAAACTGGCCCTTAGATCCCCTGCTTGATTGTAAACTATAAAAGAGGGCTTTGCTGCTACTAATAGAATTGTACTACACAGAGATGCTGGTCTTACGCAGAGCTAACAGTAATGGGATTTGATGGATTTTGGCTTAATATGACAATGTAAATCAAACACAATGTTTTCTGAGCCATGATTTGTCATTTAACTCTGTTAGTGAACAAGGTGATTACAGCTTATTGAAGGCTGTAAGCGTAGTTAACATATGAACCTAGCTAGAGAATTTATCCATATAAAGCAGGATTATAAGCCATGCATCTTACAACAGAAATACAAGCAGAGAATTCATCCACTTTAAAGCCTGAAAAGGAATTACTGGTACTATAGTGTCCACCAAACAAACCATGAAACAACTGCCTTTCTCCCTCTCCAGAAATAAGATGAGGTGACAATGTCTGTTGTTACTCTTTCCAGGAAGACTTCATACTCAGCTACTACAGGCTTCTACAAATAACTTGCCCAAAACAACTTTAATTAAGACAAAGGATTCTTCTTAGAAAATCATGTGAAAGTTAGAAGTCTTATTATCTCCTCTAAACATATTAGAGGTAGTTGTTGACTTATAACCATGCATTTAGTGACTGTTCAAAGTTACAACAGCACTGAAAAAAGTGACTCACTACTGATCCTCCAACTTATGACCATCATGGCATCCCAGGGTCATATAATCAAAATTCAGGCACTTAGCCATCGGCATATATTTATGACATTTGCAGCACCCCAGGTCACATGATCACCATTTGTTTCCCAGCCAGCTTCCAAAAGTCAATGGGAGAAGCCAAATTCACTAAATGACTTCCCAATTCATTTAACAACCGCAGTGGTTCATTTAACAACTATGGCAAAAAGAGCATAATATTGGCAGCGACTCATTTAACAACTGCCTTTCTTAGCAACAAACTCTGGTCCCGGAGTTGGGGACTACCTATAAAAGACTGCAATTAGTTTGGGCTTTGGGCCCCGTTTAACATGGGTTGGCCAAATTACAGAATGTACATTTTTCCTCCCAGACCAGAAAGTTTAATTGTTTATAATATTAACCACTGGAATCTTCAACATTCTGGAAAAAAGAACATGTGAGCAGGTGACACTGGAATGCTTTTCTGCAGGGGGATTATACATATTTCTATAGCAATAAAAGATTATATATATTTCTGTAGCATATTGCTTGTAGCACTAAGTGCAGATATCTTTGAATTGTTTTTGTTTATATATGTTTTGCTCATGGTTGTCGGGCTGGTGATGATATAATTTTATAGTGTGAGTAAGATTCTTGCAAGGAGCAAATTTATAGTTTGATACGCAGAACAAAATTTCTCATGCAAGTTGCTAGCCCCATGTCAATCATTTTATGGTAACGATCTTAGCAACTTCCCTAGTTTAAAATGGCTCCTATAGGCCGAGCATGCTTCTTCTAATATAGTAAGCTTATTGAACAAAATACCTCTAGACGACGCTGCTTTTCTGGATCTTCCTCATTCATGATTCTCTCCTTCTCTGCTCGTTTTTTCTCTTCCCGGCGGGACTGGGCAGCCTCTTGTCTTTGAACATGAGTCAGTTTCAGGAAATTTTCTTCCACACGTGCTCTATTTTTATCTGCTTTCTGTTTTCCCTTTGTCCCAAAGCAAGAAGAAATGCAAAGTCATATATATAAACACATAGTACAGCAATCAGCAACTTTTTTCAATTGGTAGGAACTATTGTAAGATTCCCCATGACAGTATGGGCATCAAAAACCTAAAACATTTATTAATGTCCCAACTATTTTGATATTTCATGCAAAAACATAAAACTCATGTAAGATTTAGTTATTTGCAAGATTTCAACTCTTATAACAGGTTCTTTTTTTTTAGTTTCGAAGTGAATTAGTGCCATCTAGTGGAGTCATGAACAAAGGTTTGACATAATACATCAAGCAATATCATAACAAATTATTTGCAAAGATAAAATCTTCAGGAATTTATTTATTAGAATCTGAACCTGAATTGGGTTTGAGGCTCCTATAACACATTGATCTAATAAAATATTTGTGTGAGACAAATGTGACTTTGTATCATTTATTACCTTATCATTTGCTGACTGCTTGTTCTGGAGACTCAAGACAGTAGTTCCATGCAGAGGGAAGAGCGAACAGCTCATATTTAAGCTCCCAACCCTTCCTTTCTTAGATTTTGCACCCAATCCAAGATATGGCTAATTTTTACCATAAAAAGAAAGAAGCTCCGAACTCATTCATATTGTGGAAAAATGGTCCAAAATTCCGGTCCTCTAAAGGTACAGCTTTAAGGTACGACCACAATTTGGATCAGGCTTTCCATTACAAGAAAGTTTGCTGTTAAGTAAGTCATGTATGATTTTGCAACTTTTTTTCCTCACAATTGTTAAGTGAATCCCATTATTGTTAAGTGAATCCCATTATTGTTAAGCGAAGTGGTTTTCTTCATAGTTTTGCTTGTTGAAAGCTGGCTGGAAGGGTCTCAAATGGTGATCTCATGACCCAGGTCATTGCAACTGTCATAAATACAGGCCAGTTGTCAAGTGTCCGAATTCTGATCATGACTGTGGGGAAGCTACAACACTATAAGTACAAGGACTAGTCATAAGTCACTAGCAATTGCTAAACAAATGGTAGTAAGTCAAGGACTACTTGCAATGTTAATGATGATGCATTTTCCAATACATCAAGCTTTCCAAACAAAATCTAATGACTTGTTTAATTTCAATAGAGATGGTGTTTAATGATAGTAATAAGCTGCTCAGCCATAAAATTAAAACATGATTGCAAAGATTGCTAAAGAATTTCTTCCAAGTTCAAGGTAGAAAGTGCAAATGAGGTACATGAGAAAAAAAAAGCCAAGCTTCAGAAATAAGTTAATTAGCTGTGATTGGGAGATTAAAAAAATACCTTAAAATCATTATGAAAAGCTCAATGAAAATGTAAAAAACATTCCATATTAGAATAATTTGGAAGGGGGTGCAAAATAAACCTAAAAATAAAAGGGAAAATATAAATAGAGGTATATAATATAGACACATTTTCCTCTCACACTGTTGTAACTCAGGGCATTCTTTAACATTAATGGAGTGAGAGTGACACCAATAAAGTTATTTAGAGAATGCATACTTAACTATGCCATTTTCTGTCATTATATGTGATGCCATCCACCAATTCAAATAGTTTTAAAAGAAACTGGACAAATTCATAGAAGATTGAAATATCAGCAGTTACTCCACTTTACAAAGATACTAATTTACTCCTAGACTATAAAAGTATATTTTGAAAGCCCACTGCTAAAGACCAAAAGGAGGAGAGGAATTTCAACTTCCTATTCACTTTGTAACATTTTTGAATACATCCAACAGTCCCCTGGACATTGATGCTGAGTCAATTTGGCTGTTTGGAATGAAATGGTGGTATAGAGCAGGAAGGAATACAAATGTACCTGAGACATAGATTGCATGGATTTTAAAACATTTTCATTATATGAGTCATGTATGTACAATTAGCATAATGATATACTAGGTTAACATAAAACTTACTTCTCTATTCAGACGGAACTTTTTTGCTTTATCAATAGAATAAATAACCATGTTCATCAGTGGCAGCAGAGCTTCCATGTCTTTGGGGGAAGTGTTGCCCGAACCTGGTACTATAAATAAGAAGGACATTTCTGTTCAGTCTTATTGTGAATTAAAATGTATAGGGGTGTACAAATAAGAGTCACCATGATGCAGTGGGAAAGGCCCTGGACAAGGACTGGGAAGTCCTGATTTAGTCATCCCTTAGAGATGGCCTTGGGTGACCTTGGCCCAGTCACTTGCTTTTCAGTCCTGAATTAGTATCAGACTCTATGACAAGCTGGCTGAAAAACAAAACTCATTGCATCATACACTGATAAGCTTCACTCTACGACATAAGCAAGAGCAAAACAAAAGACTCTGCAGCTAGGTAGGATAGATATGATGAAGGACAACTCTAGGAACCAAACTTAGAAATTTTTAATAAAGTCACTTCATCATTCTAATCTGCATTTATCTGTAACACTCCTGATAGAATTATTGAGTTGCTATGGTAGAAATTCATATACAGTGTAATTAACAATTATAGCAATTAAGAGATATTTTATTCTACTTAATATTAAATGTTAGGCAGCCAAGTCAATTTACGGTATTTTTAAATAGCCAATAATAGCGGTGTCTCTGGTAAAATTCCCATAAACCCACCATCTTTCCTTTCTTTAACTACATTTTAACCCCATCCTTCTGCCAAATTATAATTGGAGCCAAACAAATGTTAGAAATATAATCGGTCCTAAAGTCTAAGTTATACTCTGATTTTGAGATATACTCTCAGGGGTAACATTCTATGTTTTCTAAGGAAAGCTATTCAAAACAGGAGCCTATTCTTACCATTAAAAGTAAATAGCAGTGTCTTTTTAGTTTCAGGCAGTTTCAAAGGCTGGCCTTCCCTGGATGAGAACAAAAAGAAGCACTGGTAAAGGGATTTTAAAAACCACCAAAAAATGGCAACAGCAATATCTACCAATAGAAAGTTACTTCATAGTAGGCTCCTATATTGGGTGAAGCTGCACAAGCGTGACAGCAAAGGTTATCTTACAAGATTATAAATTGTAAAATTTCTTGCAAGAAGGAGCATCGTTAATCTATGGCAAGGGTCTTCAAACTTGGCAAGTTTAAGACTAGTGGACTTCAACTCCCAGAATTCCTGAGCTAACATGACTGGAAGAGGAATTCTGGGAGTTGAAGTCCACAAGTCTTAAAGCTGTCAAGTTTGAAGACCCCTGATCTATGGCAATAAAAAGTCAGGAGTCTGGTAGCATCATTTGTAACTAATATATTTTATTAGAAGGTCAATAAAATAATATTTTAGAAACCATTATTCATGCTGTTTGTTATTGTCTTTCAGCCTCCTGAAGGGCCTAACAAAAAACACTTATGATCCTGGTAGAATTTCCCATCATAAAGCCCATTGGAAAGCCAGGAGGAGAAATCTGGCAACAGCTTCTTTGGTCATTATCTCAAAAGATTTAGTCACCAGGAGGTACCATTCTAGAGACACCTCTCCCATGTAGGAAGAACAGAATAAAGGAATGCAGGATCTTCTTCATCAGCAGCAGAGGATCTGTAATTTATGTTATCTATTGAGCACGAAATAAGCTGTAATAGATCCTTCTCTGCACTTTGCCATAATTAAATGTAATAAACATTTGTGGTACTTAAATGCTGTAATCATTTAATGCAGCACTATCTATCTATAATGGCATCTGGACAATTATTGGAAGAGAATCCATTGCAAATGCTCATCTTTCCAATAGCTACAATAGGTATTAATAGTTGGGATAGCAGTATCACATTGAGCTCTTTTACTTAACACCTTTGTTCAAACATGTCTAATACTTTATTCAACATACTGTAAAATATGCTCTATTGCTGAAGGGATAATCATTCCCAACTCATGACTATTGTAACCAGAAATGTACAATACAATACAGTTGTCAGAGTATGGTTATTAAACTAAATTTCTCCTCTAATTTCCCTTGTGCAAATTTTAGTGCAATATTCATTTGGAAATACAAAAGCATATTTTGTGCCATACTCACTCTTGCATAAGTTTTGGACCAGAAAACTGGTCTGAAAAATGAATTGACTCAATCTTATCAGCATAATGTGTGAGGAAATGGATCATCTACCAAAATAAAAAAATATTTAAAATATTAAACATAGCAGCATATCTATCTATCTACACACACACACACACACACACACACACCATTGGGAAAGGCTAGCAACCATTTCCCTGTCTTCACTGTGTATGCAAAATACAGGTAGTTGTCGACTTATTAAAGCAATTGGGAGCTGAGTGTCAGTCAATAAGTGATGTAGTCATAAAATGCAACTACACAATCTCTGCAGTCCTGACTGCTGTCATTAACTGAACCACAGTTGTTAGGCAACAAAACTTCCTGCCAGCTCCACACAGCCAGGTCAGTTGGGAAGCTAGCATAAAAGTTACAAGTCCCAGGCAGTTTACAAGCAAGTCAGCAGCAGGTAAATGGCTGCTGCTAGGTAGGATAGGGTGCGAGAGGATACATAAGGATGCAAGGAAGGTGTGGGAACACTCAAGAAGAGTGTGTGAGGGAGGCATGGGAGGCTTGTAGAAGGTGCAAAGGGGTGCATGACTTGCACAAGTGCAGAGGGGCTAGGGGAGATTGCACAGAGGAAGGAGACTAATCCCAGCATTTTGCAATCTGCCCTGTCAGCTTAACCCATTAACTTTCTGGGGAAACTGATAAGAAAAGTTGCAATTGGTGATCACAGGCGCTACAACCGGTTGTTAAATGTGAGCCTGCTGCCAAGTGCCCAGATTGTGATCATTTGACCACAAGGATGCTAGGATAGGTAGAATTCCGAGGATTGCTTATAACCACCATTCATTCAGCAGCATCCTAACTTCAAATGAAAGATTGATAAATAAAGAACTACCTGTAATTTGATAATATTTCCAACAACAGTCTTGCTGAATTAGGGCAAAGTTCTAAAAATTCATCCATGGTCTCTAGTGACAGTATCAGCAGTAAACTATCTCTGGAATTGGAGATTTTATTTAACTCTCATTTTCTTTGACAGACCTACCAACTATGTGGTTTTTTTTAAGCAGAAATTAATTCCACGAGCTTAGTAGCAAAACAAGTATGTCATGGCTTTTGTCTATGGATGAGATATGGCAAGGTATGAGTCATCAACAGTAAAAAGCAAAGCATCAACAATCAGACTGACATCATAAATTAGAAAGTTATCATGTAGCTCATATCATGCTAGAGATATTCTCTAGGTATGTTTGATTTGAGTTCATCAAAAGGAATCAAGTTGAACTAGCCAGACTTTGGGTCTGTGAAAATGCTGTGTACAATCATTATGTAAAACCAAACTGTGGGACAAATGAACTAAGTATACATTTGCCCAGAATTATTCAGTATCTTCCTAGAACAGCATGATTTGGGGTAACCTTTGTTTCAGACTTAACCTGTTATACCCTATGACAATACATACAGCACTCATTTACCAATTATTCTGCAAGCCATATGTTTATTTCCAAAACTGAATGCTCAGTTTTTCAGAACCGTTCAAGATAGAAAATACTTCATTTTAAAACAAATAAACAAAACGAATAAGGGTTTTCCAATGCCCAGCAATATGAAAATTTGTACTCTTAATGCTCTCATGAGAATTGAGCATTATCGCGACTTTAATATTTTAACTATTTATTTTACATTACCTTTGTATCCATCATTCCTTCTGTGACCTCACCCATTTCCGATAAGATAGCCAGTGCTTCTGGGAGCCCGTACTTTGCCCCAGTTTTGGGTTTATCGCTGCAGAACTCACTCTGCCAAAAAGGAATTGCTATGTCATAAGGTACATCTGCTATTTCTTGCACAGTTAAATGTCCGATCAACCTAATCCAAACTCTGAAATTGATTTAGGAACTTAACAGTTAGAACAGGGGTCTGTAACCTTAAACACTCAAAGAGCCATTTGGACCCATTTCCCATAGAAAAGAAAACACTGCGAGCCACAAAATCTGGGTGGGCGTGGCCAACTCGACGTCACTCACTCCCACCTAGTCACATGACCACTTCCCCAGCTATGCTTACCCAGGTTTTGTGGCTCCCAATATTTTCTTTTCTCTAGTAAACTGAATCTCTCTCTCTATATATATATATTTCTTCTTTCTCGCCTTTCTCTTTCTCCCTTTTATCTCTTTCTCCTTCTTTTTCTCTCTCATCTCTCTCTCCCTCTCTCTTATCTCTCTTTCTCTCTCTTCTCTTTCTCCCTCTCTCTCCCTCTCTCATCTTTCTTCCTGTCAGCTTTCTCCCTTTCTCTCCCTCTCATCTCCCTCTATCTCTCTCTACTCGTATGTCTCTCTCTTTCTTTTTCTCATTTCTCTCTCTCTCATCTCTCTTTCTTTCTCATCTCTTTCTCCCTCTCTCTCATCTTTCTCCCTTTCTCTCCCTCTCTCATCTTTCTCCCTTTCTCTCTCACTCATCTCTCTCTCTCTCTTTTCTTTCTCTCTCTCTCTCTCTCTCTCTCTCTCTCTCTCTCTCGTGTGTGTGTTCTTCTTGAACCATTTCCCAAAACAGGCGAGGGTTGGGTTTTTGTTTTTTTGCTGAAATTGTTCTTTCTTCTTCTTTGGGTGCTTTTTACCATATGATTTCAATCAAGAGTCATTTCCCAGATAAATGAAGCTCTTTTTTCCCCCTGCTGTGGTTCCCTCTCAGATGATCTCACCACTGGCTGGCCCCGCCCCTCACCCTCTCCTCCCACTCACTCCTCGCCTGCCCCAGGAAGAGAAGGGCAACAGCGACAGATGGAGACTCACTCCATATTCCAGAGCAGGATTGAAGCACCCCTCTACCTGCCTCTTTTTCTGGCCCTTGTTGTTGCTGTGCGCACCTTGCACAGTCTAAGTGTGCTGTGTGAGGCTCTGCAAGAGCAACGAGCAGCCATGGAGGCGGCAAGAGGAATATGGGGAGATGCGCAACTTTCTCTCTGCCCCAAGACATTGGCTGGGCAGACTGCGGATGATGCTGATCACTGCTCTTGCAGCACCTCGTGCAGCACACTTAAACTTAGCACACTTCACAATGGGGGAGACTGCGTCCTCTCCTCCTGGAGCCCATTACAACGCAGAGCATCAGCTGCAGCCGGCTCGGCCAGTGTCTTGGGGCGGAGAAAAGCCGCGCATCTCCTCCAGTGGCCGAGGTGCGCACAGCACCAACAAGGGCTAGAAGAAGAAGCAAGTAGAGGGACGTTTCACTCTCACTCTGGAATACAGAATGAGTCTCTATCTGCCGCTGTCGCCCTTCCCTTCTCAGGACAGGCAAGGAATAATTAGGAGAGGAGGTGAGGGGCGGGGCCAACCAGTGGTGGGATCATCCAACAGGGAGACACAGGAGAGGGCCCAAAGAGCCACACATTGCTGACCCCCGAACTAGAACAAGACCCTGCTCAACTGATTACACAAGAATAATTTGTTGCCTTTAGAGATTGTGAGATGTTCTAAATCTGGAATAAAAGATCTCACATTCCAGCATAATTTTTCACGTTTAAAAAAAAGATTACAATAGAGGTTTTAAATCCCTATGTTTGCTGAAAATAAAGATACATATAAATTGAAGATACATATAAATGAAACATAAAAAGCCCTTCCTTCATAAGATCTGTCCCCAAAAGTTGTCATCCCAAGCTACATAATGGTTCCCTGCCCAATTTAGCTATAAAGTTAATTAACTAGGTTGACATTGCAAATCAGACTTATCACAAACTAGAGAATGATGGCATAGAAGAACATGAGAGAAAGAAAGGACACGAGTCAGAGAAATCTGCCAATAGAGCTAATGTAGTGACAAACTTTGGTATGTAAGTACAGGTAGTCCTTGGTTATATCCATTTGTTCAGTGACTATTTAAAATTACAACAGCACTGAATGATGGTCCTCAAGAGTTCTGGCCATTACACCTTCCTCATAATATGTGATCCAAGTGCCTGGCTTGTGATTATGACACTGCAGTAATATGTAGTCGCAGGATCACAATTTCCAATGTTCTCTGCTGATTTTCCACAAGGAAAGTCAACATAGTAGAAGCTGTCAGAAAGTCAGAAGTCACCGTCATATAAAGCCCTTGATTAACAAACCTGCACGATCCTCACTTAATTATAGTTGTTCGGACTGCCAGAACTGCTGTTGCTAAACTGCAGTTACATGATATTGCACTTTATGACAGTGTCACTTAGTGATGACAATTCTGGTTGCAATTGGTGTCGTAACCCAAGGACTACTCCGTACATTTGAAACGGCCCCATGTTGAAACACATTGAGTAAATTCAGAGACTGCATACAATTAATTATGAGAAGACAATGCATTTACACAACACATAGTTAAGACAGTCCTGGACCATTTGTAAGGCTTCATACGTGTTTTAAAATTCCCTCATCTTCCTTCTTTAACTCCCAATTTTTTTAAAGTGCTTCCCACAGCTCCAATACATACCAAGTCCTGCATTTCCTTCTGAAGCCGTACCAAGGCTTTTCTTGTCCCAACAGCGAAAACGTAGGTATCCATATCATCATCATTCATAGTAACTTTTATTTGCTGGATAACACATGTAATAATAAGCACACATAGGTTATTTTGCATAGGCAGGTTCACTAGTACAATAATAGTTTGATCATATCGTAAAAAAATAGAATGATCTGAATAGCAAATGTCAATTTAGCCAAGACCAGATAATGTTTAAGGAGAGCCCCAAGATTATTCAGAGGATCTCTAAAATACACTATAGTATTTTCTCAGTAAAAGAATAATAACTGCAGAATTTCTTAAAATAATGAAAAAGGCAGACAGTTTCTCATCTCATGTATTTTCTGGAAGACACATTTTGTTTCATTTCATATAATATTGTAGAATACAAGTAGTGATCATTTACCGACAGTAATTGGGACAGGAATTCCAATGCTAAGCATCACAATAGTAAGGCTGATGTCATGTGACTGCATCAATTTATGAAAACGAACAATCCTGAATGCTGTCATGAGGCACATCCCATGTGTAAAGCATCCCATGATCAAGTGGTTGAGTCCTCCTGCAAGTGTCCCCATTGAATCTGCTTGTTTGAAACTAGCACAGAATGTTGCAAATGTTAATCACATGACTGGAAGATGCTGTGATGTCATAATTTCAAGCCGGTTGCCATGTGCCTAAGTGATCACATGACTTTAGGGACATTGTAATGGCTGCAAATAGGACGTGTAATAAGTATCCTTTGTTCAGTGTTGTCATAACTTCAATCCCTAAAACAAGTGGATGTTAAACAAGGACTATCTTAGTATTATTAGGGATCTGTACTGCTGCCTACTTTTATTTGCAGCATGCCATCAGAATAATATTGGTCATTTCCCAGAAAAAAAAAGTCTCCAATCTGATTATAAAATGTGCATATAATATACTTATTTTGATGCCAACTGACACGATGATAAAACCCACATGCTTTGACTCTGAATTTCTATTAAGACACATGCTGCTTCTGGAATTTAAAATAAAATGTCAAAAACTTAAAAATTATTTTTGCAGCCATATGGGCTACAATGTGAACTTTTATAAAGAAAAAACAGAAAACAGTGACTCCCACTGTGAGAGTAGAAGCATCACATATTCAGACCTAAAATTTTAATACACTAATCAAACAAGTGTTATGAATATAATTCACTCAAGCTATTTTTGATTATAAAATTAACACATACCACTTGGTCACAGGCTGGCCTCATCATGCGTGCAAGAACATTCAGCAAGTCTTGTCTCTTAAGAAACTGAAAAGTAAAAAAGTGAAAAAGTGTGAGAACTTCTCATCCCTCCATTAAGACTGGTAGTTCAATGAACATTCCCAATAATAATAATAATAATAATCTGTGCAAAAGATATGTTCTGGAGTTTATTTTAATGTACTTTTATGCCGCTTTTCTCCCACAGAACAAGGCATCTGATACATATTAAGGACCCAGATGGTGAAAATTAACTTCTACAGTCCAGACATCAAGCAAGACAAGATATGCTCAGATGTACTTCCAGACTATATACAGGGCCTATCCATAACATCCATACCTAGGAGAAGCTATTAAGTGAACAAAATTAGAGTACAAGATTTTATTTTAGGACTCTTGCATCGTGCTGCCTTTTCCCAGGGAAAATGGGAAATGAGGAACTCCTATCTTGCTAAGCCACTGGAGGAAGGAATGACTCATTTTAGGGGATATGTTTTATTTACTTGCTTCCATGTTCCTCATGAGAAAGTGGGTGAGATAGAAGACGTGCACAATGGGCTGTAGGAGTACTCTAAACTCAGTTCAGATATTGCAAATTCAGAATACTGTTGTTAGCTGTGACTAGTTATATGATACCAGTTCTTGCCAACTGAACTAGCTTCTTCTCTTCTTAATATACAGTTCAGCCTTGATTATTGAAGTTTTTTTTGCAAGGTATTTAATTATTAAATGTACACACTGCTGAACCTTCAAGACCAGTGCTGTATCTGCCAGGTCATTTCATGTGCCTACAACCTGAGATTCTCAACACAGATACTGGAAGATAAAACCTTCACTTTCAAAATCCTGACCTCTGAGAGCCTTGCCTGTCATCTATGATTTTTTCCCCCCAATGTCAGAAGAATAATTTATTCTGGCTCCAAGGTTTCAAAAATTTCTATCATTTTAACATTCTTTCAGCACAAGCATTCATTGTTGGTAACCCAGTTTTTCCTTTTTAATACAGAGAAAAGTAATATTGCTGCTATTTCCAAACAACTGGCATTCCAGGAGCTTTGTTGGTTTATTGCAAGACAATCCACTGCTAGAGTTGGAATTTCTTATACCTTGAGTTGGATAAGCATGCCTTCACAACACACTCTACCGGAACACCACAAATTATAGATATGTTCATTCTCTTGGTTCAGTTTGCCTGTACTTATAGCTTCTTTGTTTGTGCCATCATCACCTTGAAAGAAAGGATATACCAATTAATGGGCATTTATTATTTATACTGAGCTGCTGTTGATGATATTCCCAGTGAGAGCAAATTACAGCAACACATTATGCAAGTATTGCTGCTTTGTTGTCGTCTTTCAGCCTCTTCTAAGTGCCAGCAAGAACCTTAAAAGCTTTAAATGACTTTAATCACATAGGTAAGAATTTGCTTTTACCACAACTTCTCTCTCAATTCATCTGCTTTTGACTGATCCCAATTCATCATTTTATGCAACACTGTGATAGCTCCCATAAAATACTGCCCGCTGTTTTGTTACTCCTCTGTGATCTAATGATTTTGACCCCCACTGTCCTCTATATAATAACTAATTCTCTCTCTGATCTCTTTTTCCTTCCAAAACCTTGAGTCCATAAAGTTTAAGCAATGCCATTTCAATTATGCCATTTATCACCCACTATTCAGTGTTCAGTGTCTCAGTTCCTCCTCTCATTATCCTCCTAAACTAGTTCTTTTATGCTAAATTATGGTGATTCCATACATTTGATACTTCACATCAAGCAACAGAAGGGCTCTGAAGGAGATTTAAAACCTGACTAATTCTACACACCAATTAATGTTCCTTGTTTTCTAAGCCCTCTTCCTGAAAAAACTACATTATCATATATACTACCTTGAACTGCACTAACTCTAAGAACCCCTGGATTTTGTCTGTAATTTTGTTTTCATACAAAAAAGGGAGAAGAAGGTAAGGATAATTCATAAGCCAACTCACCAACTAGTGCAAAGTTACTTTCAAGCAGTTCTCGATGACTACTGAACCAGGCCTGGGCCAGGCGATTGTTCTTATTCTTTCCAATGATATAGTTCATGATATAAGCAAGGAGTCCAGTCACCATTAAAATTTCCATGTAGTAACTCTCCCAACTATTTTGAAGATGTGCAGGCACCTGGTGAGTGTGACCTTTGTTAAAAGCTACTCAATTTAAAGTGGGGGGGGGGGGAACCATTTCCAACCCAAATCTTGGCTCTTCATTATAATCAGCATTAAGGTTTTATTAATTTAGCAATCAGCAATTCTAACTCCAGGCACAGAAAAAAATACTAAATCAACATAATAATATATTCTTATCATAAATTTATTTTAATCCTCTGAAATACCACTGAATGCTACTGAAATACCAATAAATGAAAATATTTATAGTTCAGGGTTGAAATGAAGTGTCTTTGGTGCTCTCTAAGCTTGGCTGTTTTCTTGCAGGTATTTTATTACTCAAATTACAATAGCAGAGATGATGTTACCTAGTTTGGGTAATGAAATGTCTACAAGAAAACAACCAAGCTCAGAGGGCATCAAGGATCCTTTACTGCTGAAATACTGCAGTTAAGAATTATTTTCTTTAAGTTTATATAATTTCACTATGATTTACTATAGTTCAGCAAGGCTTTAAGCATCTAGACTTTGCTCTTTAGCTTTAATGTCCAAATACAGAGTGATACTATGAATACCAGTATTTGCCAGGGTTTATAATTACCTTTGGAAAAAGCCCCCTTCCATCTATCACCTCCATTTATCAACCAATTAAAGTCTACCAAGAAAAGTTCTGGTGCTTTTGAAGAATTTGGGGAGAGAAAAAACATAAATGCATAAACTATGTTGCAGGGGAGGGGGAGAGAAAGAGGTAAGTAGGGATGTGTGTGTGAATGCTTGTGTACACACATACACATACATGCAGAGAGAGTCTATCTGTATTTCATTCAAAGTAAAGATACACTGATGATTGCAACCTTAATTATAATAATTCAGGAGAAAACCTAATATGAGACATTAATTAGCGATTACGTATAACTTTTCATAATCTCCACTTACATCAACAATAGTAATAGGATCCTTATTTTTGCCAAGAGATGCATCAGGTTTTTCTTCATAACCTTCAAATTCCTCATCATCATATGGCTCACTTTCTGTATCACTTTCCTGCAATAAGGCAAAATGCACAGAAATATCCATTGTTTCAGGAAAATGAGATAGTAAATATCTTTTAAACATATCTTCTGCTTTTTCTATTTAAAAGACAACATGTACATCTTTACTAATTGATGATTGATTCAATCACTTGTCTACATGTCCACAAGTTCTCAATATCCAAGTCAATGTTGTCCCAAAAGTACTTTTCCAAAAGGCAATTGAACTTTCTGGAGTTTTTCTCTGAAAATGTTTCACTTCTCATCCAATAAATTTCTCCACTTCTAATTTACTGTAGGACAAGGGTGTCAAATTCATTATCACGGCAGTGCCACATGACATAGCGTGACTTTCCCCCCCTTCGCTAAACTGGGTGTGGGTGTGGCCAGTGTGCGATGCATCCAGCCCACGGGCTGCGAGTTTGACAGCCCTGCTATAGGGAACGAAAGGATTTATATTCTTTGCAGTCATCTGGTTGTTAGCCTCTGAGGGCCAGTCATTATTGTTAGCTGTCTGAGAGTCATTGAGGCACTTGGGGGGTTATCTATTTTCTCAGAGTAACCTGAATCAGAGTGTAAATGGGTGTGGAACTTTCTTGGGACTGCTAAAGGACTGAATTGTAAACAGGAGATAGTTGGTGTTGTATCCCTCCCTGTTGAGAAAAGGCCATTCAATTTTAATCTAGATTCTCTCTGTGTAGAATATGAACTTTGCTGTGTTCAAAAGAACAAAACATTTCAAATACAGATGGGACTGCTAAATCTTGTCCTAATGAATTTGTTCTCCTGTGTTGTGCCATGCATTTATAAAGTGGTTTTGTTTCTCCAATGTACTGAACATATCTCGCTGCAAAGCACTGCATATACCACATTGTTTGTGTGTGGGTGTTTTGCCCTTCAGCTGGACAAGCTTCTGCCTTGATATATTCCTGAGTTTAAAATGTGCACATATCTTGTGTTTCTACAACATATGGAATACCAACATTGCTTCATTTGTTGTTCTCTTTGTCTGTTATGAAGGAGCTCCTGTCAGATCTTTTTATGGATTTGATGAAGACCCAATCAGGAGAGCCACATGTTCGGAGAGCTTCCTTGATATGTTCTTGTTCCTTCTCTTTCCCCTCTTTGCTAGTAGGCAAACGTTCAGTCCAATGATACATATTGCACCATAGAGAGTATCTTAACTTACTGCACCCCTGTATGATCTGCCAATTGTACAATGGCAGATAGGAAAGCACTCCAGAGGGTTAACGTCATTGCCCAGAAGATCATTGGTTGCCCTCTCCCCTCTTTGGAAGAGCGTTATAGCTCCTGCTGCCTTAAGAAAGTTCAAAACATTCTCAAAGATCCATCTCATCCGGGCACTTTTTTTTTCTGAACTATTACCATCTGGCAGACGGTACAGAATAATAAAAACAAGGACAAATAGGCTGAAAAACAGCTTCTATCCCAGGGCAGTAGCTCTGTTGAATTCTACTATGTAGTGCAGTGTTGGTGCAGTGTCGGGGGGTTTCAATTCAATATGTGGAGTGTGAAGGATGTGTATTTGTGTTTATTTTCATGGTCATGGTCATGGTCATGATGTGCTCTGAAGCTGGTGTTTGATTTTGTTGTATGAGGTGCAATGACAATAATATAATAAACTAAACTAAACTAAACTATAAGGATCCTGATTACTCCCAATTTGTGCTCCGGTGGATGGCAAGAATGAAAATGTAAATACTGATCTGTGCATGTAGGTTTTCTGTATACTTCATTGTTGAGGCTCTTGTCTTCTTTGATGTATATTGCATAGTCCAGGAAGGCCAGATTATTTTCTTTAATGTCGTCCCACATAAACTTAATGTTTCTGTCCACAATATTTATGCATTCACATTGTGGAGAGCAGGGACCACTTGTTTGAAAGAGGGATCAAAGAGGTTATGCATGTTAAAATTAAGCAGCCCCCCCAACAGAGATGCAATACCACCAAACCTATTTACAATACAGTTCTTTCAGCAGTCTCAAGAAGCTTCCATACCCATTTACACTCTGATTCAGATGACTCTTATGATATAGATAAACCCCCAAGAGGCTTCAATGACTCTCAGAGAGCTAACACTAATGATTGACCCTTAGAATGCTAACGACCAAGTGATTGCAAAGAATATAAATCCTTCCATTCCCCTCCAGTCAGCTAGAACTGAAGAAGCTTCTTGGATAAGCAAAACATTTACAAAGAAAAAAGCCAAGAAAGTCCAGTTGCATTATGGAAAAGGCATTTTGGGAATTCAATCACATGAGTTCAACTAATCAAAGAGTGCAATGCCCAAAAGTATGCTACAAATGCAGCAGAATATGAAGCACATTGATATGAATGCCCATGCAAGAAAACTGGATTCCTAATTACAATCTTCTACTTAAGCATGGGCAGTCACTCAGTAACTGAATGTCGAAATTCAGTTCTGTGGGATCATATTAGAAGAAGCTTGGCCAAATGTTTCTTGACTTTTTGCTTAAATTAAAATGGTAGGAATGGAAAGGAGACCATTCTCATTTCTATTCTTATGTGTTTCCAATCACTAATTACCACTAAATCATGCTTGCAAAATTTGGCAACAAAATGATGAATTTTTGCCATTTCAGGTGTGGAGCTGAAGGGTATTAAGAATGAAAATAGGATCAGCTCAGCTCCCTGAAGCTTCTTGTATTACCTCCCTCAATTTTGAAACCAAACAAACAAAAAGTCCCAACAGCAAAGTTTCACAGCCAAAATTAGCTATTTTGCTTCTGAATTTCAGTAGTATAATCATAGGCTATTGGAAGATCACAAATTACAAGTTAGAAGGTTGTACATAGTTCACTATTGTTCAGCTCTTAGAATATGATATACATGATGCTCTGGCCTAGTAAATTCAATACAAGAAGGAAATACAGATCGACAGTTTATAAATTGATCATATATAGGATTGCTCTGTAATCATCATGGAAAAGTCTATGGCAAGGACTATTACAGGAATACGGAATACTTTCCAAATCACATGCAAGATCCAGACAGATTTTAATTACAGGCATTAAACTATATCTACAAGAGATATATCAAGCCACAGCTTATATATGGTCAAGATTGTACCATTAGAATTCAGCAGAGATTTCTGTTTTTTGACAGTCCTTCTGTTACACTAAACTGTACAATGGTTATCTTAAATCTCTGGTAAACCTAAAGTATCTACACTGAACTTTTTTAAAAAATCTACAACTTCCATTAAAGAAATAAAAATTGATCCCGTTCCTTTGCTTACATTCTAGCTGTTCTTCCTGCAGCCCTTGGAGCACCCAAAAAATATTTTTTTTAAATGCAGCTTCTGTCGACAAGCATGTTTCCCACTCCTGATTTAATAGATATTTGGAGCTATCTGATGTTCCAGAATTGCTTAATTACAATAATTATGTATATATCAGATGAGGCTACACAAATTATGGTCTCACTCCCATTATAGCTCCAGCATTCTGTGATACTGTTCAACACAAGTTTCCTTGCTGATTTTTTTGAAATCAAAATCTTATTTTGCCAATGAAACTGGCCAATTAGCACTGAAAATAACAAACTAACTTGTTTCCATTGTTTGTCTTACTTAGTCTTAAGCATATCAAGCTTTATACAGTGGCTTAAGTTTTTTTTAAAAATAAATTATATAAGAAGATATACACCACAGATGCACACAAACTAAAGAAAATACACAGTATAACTGGATTTCGTAATAGTCTTATAATTTTTATCTTTTTGCACCAAAAAACACAAGGTAACTCCTTCATTTCACATCACCTGTCCATCAGCATCCTCAAAATCAAGGCCTTCATCTTGTCCTTCAAGTTCTATTGTGGCTTCCTCCTCTTCCTCTTCTGCTGTAACAATCCGCTGGGGAGATTCTGTTGCGTCAATCACATCTTCAAATTCAGCAAAATCATTATCATCATATTCCACTAAGTCATCGTCATCAAACTCCTCAAATTTGGCCAAAGAAAGACCCCATGGGATAAAGAATGTAGCCACTAAAAAGCACCAACTTCTCATTGTTGCTGGGGAAGAAAATACTTGATAAATAAAAAATAGCAAAGGTCAAAAATCTTTCAAGGTCAAAATATTTATTTTCTTTTAATATAGCAGTGTAACAATGGGTCGGTTTAAAACAAACTAGAAAAAAAAGCACTATATCACAATCAGTAATTCTGCAGTGGTAAAAATAGGTCAGTTTGAAAAAAATAGAAAAGGAGTACTGTATCGCAATCAATAATTGTCTCATCTTGCACAGCACTTTCAAAAATGTAATACCCAAAATAATAATAATAACAATAATAATAAAAAATAATTAAAATCATAAGTTTCCTCCATGTGCACCTAGTACTCCCTCTGCCATTTTTTTTCTCCACAAAAACCATAGGGTGTGGGCTGGATTGATAGCAAAGTGAATTTTCAACTAATTTGTTATTTATCATTAGCAATCAGAACTTATAATAAAATGCTGCAAATTACTTTTTCCTAATAATAAGCCATCATTCCATGGAGATCTTTTCCACAAATATCTTTTTTTTTCTAAAGCAATTTAGATTAAATAAGATTAACAGGAACTGGAACTAAACCCCAATAATTAATAGTGCATTCCACAGAATAAATGTATAATATATTTTATAGCCATCCTGAATTTACTTTAGCATTACATGAAATGAAAACCACAATCTTCTGTAAGAAGGGCAAGATATGACTTTCTAAATGTTGAATTAAAGTTCTGGGCATCTTTCCCATATTGGATAATGATATTTGAGAATTTTGTTTAGATTTTTTAAATTTAGATTTATTTAAAATCCTGCCTTTATTATTTTCGTACATAATTCAAGACAGCGGGCATATCCTTTCCCACAACAACAACACTATTGGACTGAGGGAGACTGATAGTCTCAAAGTCAACAGCTGGCTTTTGTGCCTAAGGTGAGACTTGAACTTACAGGCAAGAGTTTCTAGCATGGAGCTTAACTACTAGATCAAACTGGATAATACTCATATTAGTGTTATTAATACAGAAATAGCAGACGTGCTACAAATAAAATAATACATATCCCAGATTCCCTATTTTCTTTTAAAATTGCTTTATGAAAAAAGATAATCAGAAGGATTAACTAATCCTATGGATCGCTGAAAGAAATTATATAAGTTCTGAGGTTTAAATCAAGGGTCTTCAAACTTGGCTTGGTTTAAGACTTGTGGACCAACTCCCAGAATTCCTGAGCTAACATGACTGGAGGTGGAATTCTGGGAGTTGGAAGTCCACAAGTTTTAAACCTATCAAGTTTGAAGACCCCTGGTTTAAATTATTTTGATATTTATTTATCTATCTCCAACCTGCCTTGAAACACAGAACAGGCACACAAACCCCCCTCCCATTAAATTTATAGTAATAAAACATTACCACAGCTATCTTTTGAGCAGTGAAGGAATTAGAATTCTATTACATCTAAGCCTTCAGGATATGAACAATTTAAGACAGAATAGACTCAGACAATCAGTAATCATATGCATTTAATGAAACACTTTTTAAAAATGTCTTTTAAATATCTCAGGCTTAGTTTCACAAGTTTAGGATTGAGTTTATCAGAAATTAGCACCCAAGATAGCATGGTAACATGTAAATAGGGAGTGGGAAAAAGGTAGTTCAGAATCTACTAGTATAATGTAGCTGTGAGTAATAAATTAGCAGTGACTCCACACTTTTTAAATTTGTCATGCTTTAACAACAAAAGGATTCCTACCCTGAATCTGACTATTTGAATTCCTGAACTGTATTATGTTTCATATGCCCTGAGACAAGGAAGATGTTTCATATCTGGTGTAGAGATGCTTACTATACGTGTCTACCAGCATCTTTTTAAAAATCATGTTTATCCAAATAAGCAAGTATATCCATGCCAAACCCATTGATAAGTATATCCATGCCAAACCCAAACTACTTATTAATAAGTATATCCATGCCAAACCCAAACTTCTTGGGCTCATATTTAATGTAAACAATGCAACCCTATTCTTCCAGAACATCAAAAACATTATTTCAGTTTGCATGGCTGCTTGCTTATCATGCAACTCTGGACAATTAACGGATATTTTTAAATTAAAAAACACAAAGGAAATCATTATATAACACACTGAATGGAATTCACATTCAAAACATTATTGGTTTGCATAATATCCAGGCCTTCAAGGACCTTTCTTCAAGGCTAGCAGGTCTCCAATCATCCAAATTTCAAGGGAATGTTGTACAATAGGGAAGGCATAGTAACAGAGAATCCCTGGCAACTGAGAACACATGCCTCCTGATCCCATGAGATGATAGTTTAATTGATGAGGCCTGAAATATGCCAACGCTTTGTGTTTTGTTGGAACAGCAGAGATAATTGGATACAAATAATTATGCAAATATCCAGACCTTGTGCTATTAAGGACTTTTCCAGTGACTACAAAAAGCCTTGAATGGCAGTGGAATCTCACTGGCAACCAGTGCCATTCAGGCAACAACAAGCATACCCATATGTAACCCACTACTGCATTCTGGACTAAATGGAGTTCTGAGTGGTCTTCAAATAAAGTCCCATATAATGTGCACTGCAATCCTCTAAATGCAAGGTCACTGAGGCATGAGTGACTATGAATACGGTCTCCTCATCTAATAATGGGGCCCTTTGGCACAGAACATGGATTTATGCAAAGGTCCTCCTAGCTATGTCTGTATAACTCCATTCAGAACTAAAAAGGAAAGATCTCCAGATCTAGATGATTCTCAAAGCCATTTGGTCTTGCTAGAGTTAAACTTCAGACTGCTCCTTTCTATCCAGACTGCTCCCTACTTCCAGGCACTGAGACAAAAATAAAATTGTGCTAAGATTGAGAGACAGGTCTGTAACTGAGCCCGAATTACAGTCACAAGTCCAGGTACTATATGACTGTATTTGAATTTACCATTATTTTTTACAACAGTCATTAAATACCAGGATCTTTAAGCAAATCTATTTTCCCCAGTGGGTGTTTTGTAACTATGAATGGTTTTTAAATCACCAGTTATAGCCGAAGACTGTATGCATACAACTGGGTATCAATCTTTTTCTCCTCACCCATTCAATCCAAAAGTGATTGTATTATGTGACCATTTGTCATTATAATATGAAAAAACATGAAAGCAAAAAAATAAAAATAGTTAAGAGTCAGGTGATATACAATTAAATTATACTTTTAAAAATCTGCCTATGTCCTAGCTTTGTCACTGAAAAAGTAACTCACAAATCCTTGTTTTTAATTTTAATTTAATTTTCTTCTTGAAAATTATAAAACCCATTCCTTGGACCATTAACCAATATAACATAAAAATAGCATAAGAAATAATAAAAAAAATTGAGAAGAAGAAAAAGTATCAGTCCAACTCATTGTCCTTTGTAATCAAGTTATATTTTGAACTAGAATTTGAACTAAGAATCAAATCATTCTATTGGCATAATAACTTACACATGCAGTTAAGTTATTGCAGAGTATTATACTTACCCAATGGCCACTGTATGATTAATAGACCACTAGATTCTATTTAAAAAACAGCATACTGTAGTTTCCCAGTAGTCCTGACACTAGCATATGTTTGACTTGAATGGATAATTTATTATTTAAATAATTCAATCTTCATAGCATGTTGGTTGCAATTTTCATATTTATTTCTGTGATCAAAGGCTTAATGATACAGATTACTTTCCAGAATGCTGAAATACAACTCCCACAATTCTTTACCCCTTCCCATGTTAACAAAGGACACTGGGAATTGAAGTCCCGTAACTCCTGGAGAAAGCATCAAGCTGCCTAACCTGCCTAACCTCAAAGTAGTTGATGGATTTATGGAAGGTGTAGTTTGGCACACCCAAAAATTACCAATGTTAGGATTTCAAGAAGGCAGCATTAAATTTCTGAGCGCGTGACGGATCTGACATCTCGCTGTTTCTAACATTATTATCACTGAAGGCTACAAAAAAAAAACCCCACATATACCCTCAGGAATTTGATAGCCTTTTTGTTTTTTTAAAGCTTTATACACACAATTGTTTCCTGCCCGTCTGTACTAACCAGCTTTCTAAGTTTCCATTTTTATTATTTCAGTTTAGCAAGATGTGTGTGAAAGGCGTCCGCAGGACTGGCCTAGATACCCCCCAAAAAGGGGTGTGTAAAAAGCGGTGGAAATGATTAGTATATCCAAGCCAGATCTCCAAGGGAGCCTGTCCCAACCAGAATAAATCACCTTCAGCCATTCACGGTGGCCGGGATTGCCAAGAGTGCAGTTCAGTTCAGGTCGTCTGGAGGGAACGAGGTGGGGAAAGCTAGCTTCGGTGCCAACCTCAGGCCCAGCCCACACCTGTGAGAAGCAAACCCTCGTGTACAGCCAATTTGGGGCCGTTTTTCCTCTCCCAGGACGTCCACGTCCACGCCTTTCCTGACTGAGGAACAACATTACTATTTACCTTACTATCTAGCCCTACAAGAGAGAGCTCCCTCCCCTCCCACCCACCCCGGATCTCTTAAGTCCTCAAGCCCTCCTGCGCGATACCTCAGACCAGGGTTTTAGCCTCTCAACGTCCCCAAGACCAACTCGCTCTTCGGCTAGGTTGAACGATCCCAACAGGGTGGCTTTTTTTTCCGCCCTGCCGTTCTTCCCCGTAACATACGTCACTTGCGTAAGGCAGCGCATGCGCCTTGAAGTTGAAAGAACAGAAAAGGGAAGTGGCCGAAAGAGAAGGATGCATTTTTTTTTCCACACTGCCCTTTCATATTTCTTCAAGAAATGATGTCGATTCAAAAAAGAATTAACAATATATAGAGTCTAAGAATGAAAAAAGGGGTGAGGGAGGAACCTGTATTTTTATAGATTTGGAGAAATAAAGGATGCGCTATGCTACTCTAAACTTTCTAGCTCTACGCTCCTCTCCTTCGGAGTTTATGGCTGGTGTATGACGTCATCACGGAGCGCTGGGGAGAGAAAAGGCCCGCGGTTTGAGGACGATGTTTATGTGCACAGGGGCCCTTCAAGAGCAGAGTGTCGGTTTATTATATGCGTGACGTTTGTACGTCACGATCATTTCAGCAAGCAGCGTCTACCTCCTCGTTTGTACATTACAGGACTCGAGCAAAAGAAGGGAAGGAAGACAGTTCCCCAAATACCCGAGTAATAATCGGTAGGTTAAACGGAACAGAACCAGAAAAAAGAGGCAAAGCAAAGGGCCTGAGGAGAGCCTAGAATCGTCTTGTGTTTGGCCGTTGGTTAAAGGAGGAAAAGAAGGGGGCGGGGCTGAGGCCTAGTCAGGGCACGTAAACATTTGAAACTCATCGTTTTCACGTTTTCTTCCATCAGGTAATCTTTTTGTGTCTTCGGCCCGGCCTCTGGCCCGCCTCGAGGTGAGTAAGAGGACATGTAAAATCAGTTTGGAAGAGAGTTTGACAATTTGAGAAGCTAATGTAGATAATGAATGTTCACCTATTAAAATAGATGGTCTTATTACATTTTGGCTAACTTATTTTAGCTAACTTACTACATTTTGTCTAAGTGTTTTGGCTAAATATTTATTCCTGAAACCAAATGATGGGTGATTCTTAGGATTATGTAAATAGTATAGTGAGTTGCTTTGATGTTATATTTATTTATTAATAATATAACATAGTTGCTAATTTCTGTATTAGACTAGTTTTTAATAAGCAGGGCATAATTTATTATATGATCAATATCAATTATTTAAGATTGAGTGGGAAATCTTGGGTTGGAATGGAGGGCAGGAGGAAATTTATTTTCTCTCTTTCCTGCAATGATTAGATATTTAGAAGGAGGGACAGTTGAATATTAAAGAGGAGAGGAGGGACCACTGAATATTTTTTTTTAAATGGTGGAAAAACGTTTAGAATAGTCACTACTCTGTTGCAGTTTGTCAGTGTATGGAAAGAAGCAAGTAGTTCATGGGGAAGTCTAGGCTGCAGTGAATCCAACTTTTCATTCACCTGAATGAATAAAAGGGTGGCAAAATTATTTTCCTTTACTATATACAGAATCAATTGAAAAGGAATATACCAAGAAAAAAAAACGATCTCACTTCCTCTTTAATAGAACATTTCTTCCCATCTCTCACAAAAGGATTATTGCTCCAGTGTCTGGTTTAGTTAGAATACCCAGTAAAAAGTAACTATGTAAATCCTTAACAAAAGTAGAATCCTTGTCTTAGTAAACAAAATTCTTCCATTAAATTAAGCTGTAATTTGCCGATTTTGAATTGTTAAAATGACATCCTCTAATAAATATGATGATACTTGTTTTGATGGACTTTCCTAAAGTAGGTGGTAATTGTTAAAAGTAACAACTTATTTGCCTATCAGTCTTTTCTACTTAATCCATATTATATAAACTTTTTAATCTTTTAAATGTATATGTGGTTTTAAATTTGATTTTGTCTTTCTTTAGATACATTACCAACACCATGAATTGGAACAAGGGTGGACCTGGCACTAAGAGAGGCTTTGGTTTTGGTGGCTTTTCAATATCCACTGGAAAGAAGGAGGAGCCCAAGCTGCCACAACAATCTCATAGTGCTTTTGGAGCCCCTGGTTCTTCTGGGTTTGGGAAGACACCACCACCTCAGCTGCCATCCTTTTACAAGATTGGATCTAAACGAGCAAATTTTGATGAAGAGAATGCGTAAGTCCTTATTTTGCACATATATCTATAGTAGATATATTTTCCCAAATTTGATGGTTGCGTTACCTAACAATATCTCAAAAAAAGCAGCAATGAGGGGTGTAGTTTTTTTAAATTACAGCCAGTAAAATCAGTATGACTTAGTTATCTTGTTTTATTTTTATTATTTTTAAGCTGCACTATGGCACATTAGTCTTGAATGCAGCTTGAACTGTACCCAGCTCATATAAATGAATAGTTAAGATATAGTAGTTACTTAACTCGCAGTCATATAACATATTTTAAGAAGCAGTAAACTTGATATCAAGTTTTTCTGTCTTATGTTGCTGGCTTTTTGATAACTGGATTCTTTATTAAGGAATTCCTTTTTTCTCTTTCTTTTAATGATTAGATATTTTGAAGACGAGGAGGAAGATTCCAATAATGTTGACTTGCCATACATTCCTGCTGAAAACTCTCCTACTCGTCAGCAATTCCATTCCAAAGCAACTGACTCAGATAGTGAGGATGACCCATTAGAGGCATTCATGGCTGAAGTGGAAGTAAGTTACTATTTCTTTTAATTTTATAAAGATTGCTTGACATCAAAATTTGAGAAATGCAACTTATACTTTAAATCTGATCTTAAAATAATAAAAATAGTATTAATCTTACTCATTTGAGCACTTTTTAATTTATTCTGAATGTACTTACTTTTCAACAGATTGCCCAGCTGATATTACAGAAATGAAAGAAAAAGCAAATAAGAGAATAAAGGAATTGCTGTCTTTTTAGCTATAAAAATATTTTGGGTTGCTATCACAGGAAAGACCATGCTTTCATGAGCTTTTGTTTAAATCTGATACTTGTTTTTGTTAAATCTTGCCAGTCTGTCACATCAGATTTGTAAAGAAAGGCACTGTTCAGTTTTTGCTACCATTAAAATCAAGTTCAGTGAAAAAATCAAATAATGTACAAGTAGTCCTCTGGTTATGATAGCAGTTGGGACAGAGATTGCCATTAGTAAGTGCAATCCTTAAGTATGATGTCATAAGTTCATGTATTCAGCACCATGCTAAATTTGAACAGTTGCCAAATGAATTGACTTAAGCTGAGGACTATATTTACTTGCTTACAGCTCCATGAACTTCTAATTAATAGAATAGATAGAATACTTTATTGGCCAAGTGTGATTGGACACACAAGGAATTTGTCTTGGTGTAAATACTCTCAGTATACATAAAAGAAAAGATACATTCGTTAAGAATCAAGAATCGTAACGTACAACACTTAATGATAGTCATAGGTACAATCAGCAATCAAATCATACTAGGAAACAATATAAATAGTAAGGATACAAGTGACAAAGTTACAGTCCTATAATCACGAGGGGATGGGTGATAAAGAGTGATGAGAAGGTTAACAGTAATAGTAGTGCAGACTTTGTAATAGTTGAACTGTGTTGAGGGAATTATTTGTTTAGCAGAGTGATGGCTTTTGGGTAAAAAACTGTTCTTGTGTCTAGTTGTTCTGGGTGTGCAGTGCTCTGTAGCCTTGTTTTGAGGGAAGGAGTTGAAACAGTTTATGTCCGGGATGTGTGGGCTCTGTAAATATTTTCACAGCCCTCTTTTTGACTCTTGCAGTATACAGGTCCTCGATTGAAGGCAGGTGGGTAGTAATTGTTTTTTCTGCAGTCCTAATTATCCTCTGAAGTCTGTGTCTGTCCTGTTGGGTTGCAGAACCAAACCAGACAGTTATAGAGGTGCAGATGATAGACTCAGTAATTCCTCTGTAGAACTGGATCAGCAGCTCCTTGGGCAGTTTGAGCTTTCTATGTTGGTGCAGGGATTTTGATGGGAGTTTACATTAAATATGCTACTTTTTAAAATCATGTTTTGTGATTTATTAGGATCAAGCTGCTAGAGACATGAAAAGATTAGAAGATAAAGATAAGGAAAGAAAGAATTCAAAGTAAGTTTCATATATCATATTCCTGTTGAAATAAACAAAATGCCATCAACAATGTTATTTCTAGTTAGATATTTTATTTTTGTGCCAAGAGTTCTCTAGAGGCTATGATTTGGAATTTAAGGGTTAAATTGTATGGGGCTAGTGTATGATTAATTCTGACTTATGACAAGCAAAACTTGACTTTTTAGTCCTTTTCAGGTGTAAAATTCTTAATGCTTCTCATATTTCATAATTTGGATATTCCAGTTGGCTCATCGGAATTTGACAAGTTCTGGGGGGTTGGAGTTGTTATAGGAAATGTATTTTTATTGCAGCTGAATGTATCTATGTTGAGTCATTTTGGCACTCATCAGGCTGAATATATGGAGCTGGGTATGTGGAACATTTGCAGGGAAGTTTTGTTTCTCTGCTTATTTTTCCAGGGGTATACGCGATGATATTGAAGAAGAAGATGATCAAGTGAGTTTTCTACAAAATCTTTTCTATTTATGTAAAAATGAAATATGATCCCTTGAATAAATTAGTGTTAAATCTTAACATAAAAAGATGCTTTTGACCATATAAATCACTGCTGAGAATGTGTAAGTAGAAGCCATTAGAGAGATCATGTAACACCACTTTAATAGAAATTTCTGTGATTCTCTTTTAATTTTCACACGAGAACATCTAATTTAATATTTTTAGACTGTCCCGCAACCTGTGTGCTGGTAACAAGTTAGTATGTCTTTGATGCCCAAAGTATCCACTTTCTACATTTATACAAAAGTGATTCCTTGTTTTTGTAATGAGTGGACAATCATCTCTATATCACAATGGCAAGTATAGTGTAATTATCCATTTCAGTGGAGTTCACTTGTTACCTGTCTGTAGGAGGTCTTTTCAGTCAGGAGCATACTCAATTCGTTATGGATACTTCTTTAAAAGTAAGTTATGACAGCAAGTCTAAGGCATAGTTTGAGACTAGGGAAAAAACTGTTTAGCAGATACCTTTAGAAATCACAATTCTAGCATGTTTGAGTGACAAGAAGGCCATTCC